GGCGAACTGCGGCAGCACAGTCCGAGCAGCCATGTCCAAATCTCAAGCAAGCAAACTCATAGATGAGGACGTGACATAGCCAGTTCGTTTGCATGAAAAAAACACATGTAAACTCCATACAGAGCAACACGTGGGTCCCTCAACCGGTTTCGCCTGTCCACATAGGCATCGTTAGGAGGGTCTTCAACAGAACCTTCGTGCTCGAAAGGGAAGCAGCCCGGAAGCTTATGCCTTGCTTCCCCGATTAAATAGTATCCCAGTGCCAATCTCATGCCTACTTCCGATGTAGTCGCACACAGACGAAAAGACTGAAAAGCACGATATCGAAAAATAGTTGCAAAATCCCCGGTGACCAAGACTAGTCTCTCGACAAAGGCCCGCTCTTTCTTCCGATCGAGCGTGCAAGTACCCAGTCGCAGAAGCAGGTGTGATCCATTTTGCCTGCTGCCCCATCCGAGGGCACCTTCTCAGTCGGTCAAGACTCGGTAACATCCCCCCGGCACTCGGGAAGGTTCACCGCCGGTCGTGAACCGTAACGGGCAAACGACGGGTCATACCGATCGTCGGTCGTTACCTCAAAATTTTTTACGCTACCCAAAGAGCCTGCCTTATCCTACTCAAAATCGCAGTCCTACTCTGATCCCCTAGTCACTACCCTCCCCTCGACCAAAACGGCTACCTTTCGACGAACGCTCAACTAATGTCAAGCCGAGAATGAAAAACGAAAGGTATAAATGCAGAAAAACAGTAGAAAAGAGGTCGTACATCCTCGGTCTGTCAAATGAGCCCCCCCTGGACCCCTCTGCTCTCCTTTATTTACCCAATACCTCCGACCACTGCCCCCAACGGTCTTTACAATAAAGGACAGAGCAGCATGCAGGTTATGTAGTGCTCTGTTCGGCACAGCCCTGGCCAAAATGGCCAAGGCACCGAGAGAGACTTCCGGGGGGTAACCCCGGAGGTCTGCCTCGCAGATCGCGAAAGCCAGGGCTCCCAGGACTAGTTCCTTGCTCGTAGTCTGGTTCCACAGTCTACGGATTATGGCAGAAAACACACCCTTCTTCACGCATTTAGCCGAGTAGGACTCGTAGTCCTACATGGTCTGAAAAAGTAACTCCCCTCGTACGTGGAGAGCTTCGGTGTTCTTGGTACAGGGTACGTAATGAAGAGTCAGCGGTGGACCACTGATGAACATCTGGCCACCCACAAAGGGCCACGTGATCTCGCATTCGTCCTTTCTCACGATCTCAAAGTGAGAGTCGTAGATGTCCTCGAAAGCTTCAAAGAAACGGTTAGGCCACCGTGCGTCCTGGGGATCCAACACACCGGCGATGATCTTAATGTCGTCCATCAGCCTCCAGCCGCCTACCAACCTTCTATACGATCCAAGTCCATTGACGAACTGCAGTTCCGCTATTGCGCAGGTCACCGAGGCGAGAACCGGGCTCGTAGACTTGCCCATCGGAATACCAAACAACTGTTTAACAATCTTTTCCCCACACCTCACAACTGCACGTTTCAAGTCGAATCTGATCACCTCCATTATCTTCCTTAGAGTGATACCCACGTACCCTTCCACCTTCTTCTTATCTCTGCTAATGATGCATAGCTTGCCCCTTGTTGAAACTCACACTTGCTTCCACCCGTCATTCTCGTATCTTCTCAGCAACTGATGCACCGCTTGGATTACCGAACCGTGGGGAATCCTCGAGAACATTTCCTTTATGTCGTAGCACCTTCCGATTGCTTGGTTACAACCAGCTGCTCTCAATCTCTACGTGGTTGCTTTGAGGCGTTTCGTGAGCTCGCCAACCGAGCTGAGGAAGAAGGTGCTGTTCGCGGGTAGGCGCGCTAGTAAACAGTGCAGTGCCCTCGCTGTTCTCCTCGTAGCCAGTCCGGCAGGATCTGCCGGAGCCGGTGCTATGCATCTCCAGCGTGCCAAGTCCTTGTGTTTTGGTATCACGTATGCTGTACCCAGTCGAGCGTCCGATTTCCATTTGCCGATTGAATCCAAACCCCGCATGAGAAAATCTTCCCTGGTCTTCTTCAGGATAGTCACCTCTTTATCGACATTCCCGATCGTTACGTAGTTGGAATTCCAGGCGAACGTCTTCCCGAAGCCGTGCCTGTACAAGACTGGGTAGAACACTGCAGTGTCCCCCTGGTTCCGGTCTATGGGAGTGAGAACCAGCCCCTCAAACAGGGAACCCCAGTCTCTGATCTGCTCGTCTGACCAAGCCGCGAAGTTGATTTCCCGGTTGGTGAACACGGCTTCTGAAGTAATGGAAACCGCCGAGATGCCCTTCAGATGCATCGTCGCTTCGCAGATCGCTCGTCTGATCGTGCTCACTTCACAAGCTCTTGTCGGTCTTGAGATATTCTTCGAGTTTCTCTGGAAACGGGAAATGGCAAGCTCCGAGAATCTCGTCAGTACATGTCCCTCCAGCTTCGGTAGACTGAAACCTGTGCAAGGGCAAGGGTGTTCAGCTACCGTCGCGTACTCCTTTTGATTGTGCAGAAGTTCCCCTACATTGCGGTACCTTTTCCAGACTATCCGAATTTTAGTTTTTATAAAATCCGAGAGGTGCTTCTCGAACACCGAGCTACCCACCACAAGCTCAGTCAGTCTTCTAATATCCGCCTTCTTGATCCTGGAATCATACGATAACCTTACATTGACCCTCTTCCGCACGCTTACTTTACACTTCCTCAAAATTATCCTATCCAGTTTCATCTTAAGCCTGTGTTTAGTTTTCTTCTCAGTAAACAAACCCGCAGTCCTATAGAGGCCAATCAGCTTCCCGGTTGTCATGTTGAGGAGCTGTGAGTCAGGTCTCGGTCTGCGCAGAAGCGCTTCCAACAGCTTTTTGTTTCGCTCAGTAGTCGTTTTTGCTCTGACGATCTGTACTACCGTGACGGTACCCCCCAGCTGGAGCTTTGGCTTCGCATCTCGTAGGCTTATTACTTCGTTGCCAAGTCGAAGTAACGAATCCCCAAACCTGCGTCTAATCTTTCTCCAGCTAMCATTCCAAGTCGTACCACCCTTGACTATGATCTCCAACCCCTCGCATCCTTGATRCTYCGACAACCAGACTAGTAGCGAAGTGATCTCCATACCTTGGTGAGTGATYGTAAGCAGGYTCTCCKTGCACACACTACCTGTCCTCCCTTTCCTCTCCCTTCTGCCCCGTCGTCTCCTGACTCTTCCCAKCTTCTCGCCTTTGCCTATCTCRCRYGTGTTCAGACCTGGGTTAAACTCARCAATCARAAACTTCTCGAATGCGTAATCGTCGAMACTGTTCGAATGYCGAATCGGGATCATTACATACCTATCCAACCCGAATTTGCGTAGCCAKCGGTACAAATGCGGTGCCCRACCTAGACTAYCACTCAGAGTGTTCCGACAGTGCTCTCTCCACCTCTGGATCAGTGGTCTAACAGTACAGCCTATATAAGCCTTCTTGGTCCACGGACTCACGATGGCATACACCCCGCCCGATTCTAGACTCAGCAAATCCTTGACCTCGTGAGATCTATCTAGGAACTTCTCTAACCACCGGATCTGACCACGCGCGGCTAGTAGAACGGTGGTTGATGAGATTGCGCACTCAATCTTCCTACCTACTTCGCTGGTTATACCGCACTCCCTCAGAATGGTCCTCCGTTGGAGCCAATAACTTAGCTTGTCCCATAGTTCAGCATTCGTCGGAGTTAACCGTCAGTCAGAATCCTCAATCGGCTGCACCGTTGCTGACTTTATGATCACGGGAGCTCTCCCCGGAGTAGGCTTTCCGCCAGCCTCCTTCCCCTTCGTGTACGTCTTCCGGGGTGATCCTGAAGCTTTCGTCTTTTCCCCGCCCTTCGATACCGCTGGGGTTTCTTCAAACCCGTCGTAGGCCAACTGCACCTGGTGTCTTGCCAARATCTCTACCACCTCCGGTTTCGTAGTGTACTTAATCCCTTTCTGATCACAGATACGCCTGAGTACATCGGCTTTCTTAGCCGAGTAGATCTTATGAGCCGAGATACAATAATCTATAAGGCCCTTTTGTGAGCATCCCGTCGCTACGCCTTTGTAGCCCCCGGTCAGCGGTGTCTTTGGCTCACCCCGTCCCTCTTCCTCCGCCATCTGGAACCCGTCGCTGTCAGTCGCGTGCTGTCTTCCTGTGTCGCCCGGATCCGTCCTCCCCAGCCTGGAGCATTCACCTCGCTCGAGTGTTCTGAGCGGTGTGTTCTCCGTTGTCTTCTTTGCCTTGTCCGCCATTTTCCTCTTGTATCTGCTCCTCGAGTAAGCCTTCTTCTTCTTCCCCCTTGGAGTCCGCATTACTTGAGAGTCTTCAGAATCCGTAGTAGTTACGCTGTCCGAAGAGTCTTCCTCCGTCGGATCCTCGTTGTCCGTCTCGTCGCTGGATCTATCCGTCCTCTTCTTCTTCGCCCTCCCCTTTCTGCAGCTCTTGCGTGTTTTCTGGGTCGTTCCCCTTTTCTTCTTCGCAGATGTCTTCAAAGGACAACTCGCCTTCTCTGCCTCCTGGTTGTTCCTTCTCCGTTCTTCCAAGAGCTCGACACGTAGTTGTAACTTGAATTCTTCCGCCTTTGGGCCGAAGTCCAAGTTTCTCCTTAGTTCCTCCTCCTTGGCTTTTCTCTCCTCCTCTAGTCTTCGTTTGTCCTCTGACTCCAGTCTTTCCTTACGCATTAAACGGAAGTGTTCCTTAATTTCTTCCAGCTCCGGATCACCGTGCGTGTTAGTGTCTCCACGCCCCCGTCGTGACCAGCAATCCCGGGCAATGTGCCCGGGTTTCCCACAGTTATAGCAAACGTTACCGTTCCCTCCCATCCCCGCTCTCCCACCTCCCCCTTGGTAGCCATTCCAATTGCCCGCGTTCTGGCCTGTATCGACGTTCGAGACCCCGTTATTCGTCGACAACTGCCCATTGTTCATGTTTCCCGTACCATCACCCGTGGGGCCGTTCGTAAGGAACATCCCGCCCGGAAACCCCGGTGACACCGTTTATCTGAGCGAAAACTCGAAACAAGTTAGAAAGAAGAAAGCAGGATAGCGAGGTCTCCCTCAGCAGAACACGGAACGTGATGAGAAGATAAGGAGAGCAAGATAGCCAGATAGTTCACGGCGTGCACCCTTTTACTCCCGCCAGATACCTACGATCTCCCGATACCGAATTCTACGTCTCGTCCGAAGTGTCAATAGAGTAGTTTCAATCTTAATCAGTAAACTCATTAGTAAATCATAGAGCCCGGCGCGAAGGGTCTCGTCAGTCACGAACCCAATCATCAAATGCATGGGCTGGATAGTGTTCCTAACATAATCTTCGAGCGTTTCGATCAGTCGTGTCCTAACCGTAGCGCGTCTCCTGGTGTGACCTTCACAATCCCCACATCTCACGCAAGGAAGCGGCATCTCGTCAGAAGGCCGATCCTATCACTACGAAGCCTACCCCTATCAGCATGATACCGATCCCATATAAGATGCTTGACAGTCTTCTCCTCATCCTCTTAACCTACACTCGATCACCATCTCTACTGCGCCGTATACTCTGGTACCCAGACCACCGCCCACGCCGGATCTCCAAAGAGAGTTCATGCTAGGCCGGAGGATACCTTCTCATCCCAGGTCTCAAAGAGAGTATCACGCCCGCGCCAGTCCAGAAGATACCTCATCAACTCCCATCACCGGCTTCGAGCTCGCTTCTTCCAATATTGCTCCCACCTTGTATGTCGACGCACCCACCGCGCAGCGCAAATCAATTGACGGTTACTACGTGCCAGAGAGTGGCGAACTGCGGCAGCACAGTCCAAGCAGCCATGTCCAAATCTCAAGCAAGCAAACTCATAGATGAGGACGTGACATAGCCAGTTCGTTTGCATGAAAAAAGCATATGTAAACTGCATACAGAGCGACACGTGGGTCCCTCGACCGGTCTCACCTGTCCACACAGGCATCGTCAGGAGGGTGGTTTAGCAAAACCTTCGTGCTAGAGAGAGAGAGAGAGAGAGAGAGAGAGAGAGAGAGAGAGAGAGAGAGAGAGAGAGAGAGAGAGAGAGGGGGTCGCCTCCCCCCCACACACACACACACACACACACACACACACACACACNAGAGAGAGAGAGAGAGAGAGAGAGAGAGAGAGAGAGAGAGAGAGAGAGAGAGAGAGAGAGAGTAGGTAGACTGCGGCCTCACAGTCCATGCAGCAAACATGACGACTGCACAAAATCAATAATCTCCCTTAGTCCTTGATAGCTCATCGATAAAAACCACAAAATAGAGTTCTCATCCCCACATTCCCTTTTCCCTCTTTGTCTCCCATCATTCCCAGTACACCCTCGCCATCGCCATTCCGTTGCCACCTTCTCCTCCCATGAGATTCGTAGCACCCTCGACGTGTTTCATCCGCCCACGTGCGGCCTCTTCAGGAGGTGGAATGAAAATTCCCGCAGCTCAGAGACAGCCTCGGTCGTGCTGTCAGAACTATGTACCCTGGTACGCACCCCAACCGGTCCCAACGGTCCCCACCGAACGACAGCCTATTTCAAGAAGTATTTTTTAAAGGAAAGTGAATTCAAGAAAACCTGATCAAGCCACTAGGTACATACCGTCGGTCCCAGGTTCCCTTCCTACCCGTTGACCACATAGGCCCTCCTACGGGCACAATACCCGGGTATCGTTCGAACCCCCCGTTTCCCTCCCAAAACTGATCTACCCTTCTTCCTATCCCGTGGGTCCTACCCGACCCCGTGTTTGTCACTCAACCTAGTCGAAATCATCTGCATATTTTTAAGTGCCTTCAGCAGGCACTGTAACGTTGTGTCTTCCACAGTCTTGACCGATTTGGCCAAGGCACCAAGAGAGACCTCCGGGGCATAGCCCCGGAGGTTTGCTTCCCATATCGCATAAGCGATGGATCCGATGACCAGAGCATGACTTGAGGTTGACGCCCACAGTCTCTTCAAAGTCCCAACTAAAGCTGACTTTTTTGTCTTCTTCTTCGTATATGAACTGTAATCCTGCATCGTCTGGTACGTGAGCTTTGCCTCCTTCCTAAGTGAGACCAGATTCTTCGTCTCAGGCACATACAACAAACACAGAGGACCCTCCAAGAGGTATATGGTACCCCCCAGGAAATTCCAGTAGTCCTTTGAATCATCCTTCCTGACCAAATGCAGATTACTGTCATAGCTTTCTTCGAAAGTCCGGAATACATCACTGCATTGTTCCGAACCCTCTCTCTGTCGTTTCCCCACGATCAACGTGATATCGTCAACAATCCTCCAGCTTGCGACTAACCTCCGGTCCGTCCCCATCCCTGCCAGAAAATGATACTCAGCTATGGCACAAGTAATGGTCGCCAGTATGGGGCTGGTGGACTTCCCCATCGGGATCCCCGACACCTGGCGTCTGATCTCGTCACCACATGTAATGAACGCATGCTCCAAATCGTAGTTCACCATCTTGTACATTATCTCAAAACTGATACCAACATACCCGTCCGTTGTCCGCTGGGTCTTGCTGAGAGTACACATCTTACCCCTCCTTGATACCTTCACTTGCTTCCAGCCCCTGTTTGCATACCAGCTCAAAAGCTCCCAGACTGCTCTCCTCACTGCGGTATGCGAGATCTTAGTAAACATGTCCTTAATGTCGTAACATCGGCCTTCGGCTCCTTCGCATTGCTCCGTAGTAAGCCTCTTTGTCGCAGTCTGAAGCCTCTCTGGCAATTCTTGTATGGAATTCAAGAAGAATGATTGTTCGGTTGGAAACAACTTCATGAGATAGTGCAGACTCCTCCCTACCCTCCTTTGAGCCAGTCTAGCCGGGTCATTCGTTGCAGGCGCTCTAGGTCTCCATCGTATGAGATCCTTATCTTTCGGAATCACGTAAGCCTTGCCAATCCGGCCATCAGTCTTCCATTCCACCACTTTCAGCAGGCCTTCCCCTTCGAAATCCTGCCTCGCTTGCCGAATCACTTCCTTCTCCTCGTACGGAACTTGAGCGTAGTCGGCGTTCCACGAAAACATCTTACCGAAAGCGTGCTTGTACAACACCTGGCACACGACTGCAGTATCGCCTTGGTTCCGATCGATCGGGGCAAGCACTAGCCCTCGAAATCTCCTACACCATTTTGCGACAGTCACATCCTCCCATGTCTCTCTTCCACTTTACTCATCCTGTCCATTCAAGAAGCCACCTGTAGGTATCCGCACGTCCCCCTCGCAGCTCTTCAAATGCCTTGTAGCCTCCACGGTCGCATTGACAAAATACCCGCTGCTCTTTGTCTCTGTGTGACACGTCACATTCTTAGCATTTCTGACGAAAGATGGGATATCTGGCAAATCCGAGAAACGTGTCATAACGTGTCCCTCATGGATGGGTAGGTCCACGCCTTGACATACGCAGGTCTTCTCACTAACATTCGCATGTCTCCGGTGATTATGAATAATCTCCCCGACGGTTCTGTTTCGGCACCAAGTAACCTGAATCCTGCTCTTAATCAAATTCGCAATAGCTTGGTCTGCAACGCACTTGGTCACCACCTCTTCGGTCGTCTCCCTAATTCTTCTCTTCACGATCCGTCGGTCATATACCACCTTCACTTGCACTCTCTTTCTTACACCCATCCTTGTCTTCTTCCGAATGGCCTGATCGATCTTCAAGCGTAGATCATTCTTCGTCTTCTTGTCACCAAAAAACCCTGCGGTACGATACAAACCAACCAGCTGATTCGTGGAACGTGCCGCCAGACCTTTGAACAAGAAAGGTTTCTTTACCATGTCCCGTAGCTCCTGTAGCCTCTTTGAAGTCGTCGTAGGTGTTCTGGTGATCCCGAGTAGTATGCACACCGTCCCTCTCTGCAGCTCTCCCTTCGCGGTAGCAAGCTTCTTCGGCCTTCCGTCAATTCTGACCTTCGTCATTCCAAACAAGTTTTTGATCTTCTTCCACCCATCTGTCCATATTTCTCCACCCTGGAACACTATGGTCCTCTGTACCTTCGCGTCTTTCTTCCACTCCTCATCCAGCCACGTCAGAATCGATGTCCTTGCAGTCTCACATCCTCTTGGTGTAAAGCTGACGGGAACTCTCACTGTCGTTGGTCCATGCCTCAATCTCTTCCTCTCTCTCCCCCCCTTCCTCTTGCGACTTCTCATTCCTACTTCCCTTCCTTTCGTGTTACATGTATTCAAACCGGGTGAGAAGTCCCGGATGAGATGCAGCTCGAGCGCTCTATCATCCGCTTCGTTTGCATGTCTTAACGAAATAATAACAAAATTTCCCACGCCCGAGCGTCTTATCCAGCGGTACTTCTTCGGTGAGTTGCCAATTGCTTCAGAACTTGTGATAGTTATATGTTCTCGCCAGCGCCGCATCACGAACCTCACCGTGCTTCCAACGTACGTCTTCTTTGACCATGGGCTTGCGATCACGTAAACACCAGCAGTGACCAGCTTGCTTCAAATCAAGCATCTCCGGCAAAATATCAGAACGAGCCATATACTTCCGAAGCCATGGAATCTGCCCTTTCATCGCCAGCAGTACCGTTGTCGATGTGATCACCCTTTCGACATCTCCCAGGAGATCGCTACTCTTGCCCTGCCCCCAAAGAGCCAACCTCAATCTTAAGTGGGATTTCAATGTTTCCCACAAGATCTCAATCGTAGGAGGCGCGGGTAGTCAGTCGGATCCCTGCTTCTGCGGCGGTGCCGTCTGGAGTGTCACACGTGCTGGTGCGGATTTGACGGACGACCGTGTCTCCCGCTTGCTGCACTTCTTCTCCGGTCCCGGCACATCATCAGCGAGTTTCACCGTTGCCTGATCACTGTCGATGCCGTGGTCCTCCGACTCTTTGAATCCCTCATACGCCTGCATCACCTATTCTCTAGCAAGCATATCGATGATATCTGGTTTCTTCGTGTAGCGTATCCCCTTCTTCTGACATATCTTGCGTAAAAGGAAAGCTTTCTTTGACGACAGGATCTTCTGTGTAGATAGACATTAGTCGATGATTCCTTCTCTCGAGCATTTCGCGGCAAGTCCTTTATACCCGTTCTCCATCGGCGTCTTTGGTTCCTCTCCGTCCGTACGGCCGTTCTCGAAGTTCAGACCTCTCCCACTTGGACTCCGACAGTAGTCCCGCACGTTGCGAGCTTCCTCAAATCCCATCCCTCGAAAATTTCGATCCTCTTCGAACCCCGCTCCTACATCGTTCGCGTTTCTAAGCTCGCCATCGCCCCCTTCATAATTATACCTCGACTTATGCCTTGCTCTGGAACTCTCCCCCCGTTTTGTGGTAGTGTTCTTCGTCTTCTCCATAGTATTCTTCTTTTCCGTAGTCACCGGTTTCTTTCCTTCGCCTTACGTCTTGCCTTCCGTGCCTTTTTCCTCTTAATCTTTAGAATCGCTCTCCGAAGCTCTTTTCCGAATCAGTCGTATCTGTCTCCGAATCTTCCGGCGTTTCGTCGTCTGATTCAGATGATGATGATGGTGATCAGCCCCGGTTCCTCGCCGATCGTACTGGCATGTTGATCCGGACCGTGCTCCTCATCCGTGCCTCTTCGGCTTTAACGCGAGCCTCTTCGGGCTTCTGCTTCGCCGCCTCAGCTTTTGCCCTCGCCTCCTCCGCCTTGGCTTTCGCTGCAGCGGCCTCTTCTTCCACCCTCTTGTTTTGCTTCCTCCATTTCTCTTCCATCCCCGCTTCCAACAGAAGGCGCATCTCCTCGGTTCTTCTTATAAAATCATGCTCCCGTCTTTTTTCGTTCTCTTCTTGGATCCTCCGTTGTTCCTCCTCTCTTCTGCGTTCCTCGGTTTCACGTTTCTCCTGTATGATCATCCTGAAGTGTTGTCGTATCTCGTCCATCTAATTGTCGTCGTTACGTCCACGCTTGGTCCTGCAATCCCTTGAATAGTGGCCAGGCTTCCCACACGTATAGCAAATTACGGAAGGTCTCCCGTTGGTACCTCCGTTATTACCAGTCTTCCGTTACTCCCATTCCTACCATATCCACTCCCGTCGTTTCCACCCTGGCTTCCGTAGGTGTTCGACGGACCTTGTTGATTCTGCCCCCCCTCGTACTGATTCTGCCCACCACCGTACATCTTTTTGGTTTCCAACTCCGAAAACGATCCCAATGTCCCTCGCAATGCCACGATCGCACCTTACCTTCTAAAATCGATTGTCTACCTCGCCACACAAAAATTACTTATTCCCTACTGCTGTCTCGTTACTTCCCCCTACTACTCACCTTACTTAACACTGTTTGTAGACACAGCCACCTTGAAGCTCGCAATACTCCCGGTTACTGTGCGCCTCAGAGTGTAGGTAGACTGCGGCCTCACAGTCCACGCAGCAAACATGACGAGAACACAAAATCAATAATCTCCCTTAGTCCTTGAGAGCTCATCGATAAAAACCACAAAATAGAGTTCACATCCCCACATTCCCTTTTCCCTCTTTGTCTCCCATCATTCCCAGTACACCCTCGCCATTGCCACTCCGTTGCCACCTTCTCCTCCCATGAGCTTCATAGCACCCTCGACACGTTTCATCCGCCCACGTGTGGACTCTTTCGGAGGTGGAATGAAAATTCCCGCAGCTCAGAGACAGCCTCGGTCGTGCTGTCAGAACTATGTACCCTGGTACCCACCCCAACCGGTCCCAACAATCCCCAGCGAACGGCAGCCTATTTCAAGAAGTAATTTTTAAAGGAAAGCAAATTCAAGAAAACCTGGTCTAAATGCCAGGTACATACCGTCGGTCCAAGGCTCCCTTCCTACCCGTTGACCACATAGGCCCTCCTACGGGCACGATACGCAGGTACCGTTCGAACCCCCCGTTTCCCTCCCAAAACTGATTTATCCTTCTTCGTATCCCGTGGGTCCTACCCGACCCCGTGTTTGTCACTCAACCTAGTCGAAATCATCTGCATATTTTTAAGTGCCTTCAGCAGGCACTGCAACGTCGTGTCTTCCACAACCTTGACCAATTTTACCAAGGCGCCAAAAGAGAGAGAGAGAGAGAGAGAGAGAGAGAGAGAGAGAGAGAGAGAGAGAGAGAGAGAGACGTTCATGATTCAA